CCCCCCGCCGTTTTTTTGTTTTTTTTTTTCCTTTTGCAGCTCTGGCCCCAAAACGCGCCGGGGAAGCGTAGCGCTTTGTGCGCCCGGGATGTGTGTGCACCCCCAGAAGGCCGCGTGTAGGACGTGTGGGTTGGGTATGTTGTGTGGGTTGTGTAGGATGTATGGATTGTGTAGGATGTGTCAGGCGGAGCGGCCCCGCTGTCCCTGGGGAGGGGGTCGGCGCCCGAAGGCAGCGCTGGGATTTGGGGGCGCGCACCCCGGCAGCGAGGAGGGGCGGATCCGAGTGAGAGCAGGGATCAGCTGTCCCTAGGGCAGAGACAGGCCAGGACAAACACTCGGTTGTGGCCGTGCGGGAATGACAGGCGCTTTCTGGGGCGGGCCACGCGGGGCACTGCACGGGCACCGACAGTTCGAGGGGGTAAGCGACGGCAACGAGGTCTCGATGCGGAAAAATAAAGGCGGCGTACGGGACCGTGCCAAGAGTTTCCCTCAGAACCGTGTGGTAAAACCAGCGATCGTGGTTGGAGCAGGCTGGGCCCCCGCTAAACAGAGGGGGCTGGTGTTGTCACGGGACACACGCTGCTCTGACGGTGCCCATTTGGAAGGGGTGTGCGGGTACCCTCAGCTCCCCGCCTCCTGTTTGCTTATGTTTTTCATGCATCTTTATCCCTTTTTCATCCTGCTCCCTCCGGGAGCACTTCCCTTGCTCCACATCTCTGCGCGGCTTCACGCAGCTTCTACTTCTGTGCTGTAATGACTCGCCTGAGGAATGTTTTGGTTTCATTCAAGAGACGAAACCTCCCTTACCCCCACCCCTCTCACCGCCTTCCTTTGCATCTGGGGTGCTGGCACCTGGCCCAGGACGTGCAGTAGTCAGTCCTTGCCCACTGGCAGGTTTTTCCTCTTGCCACCTTGCAGCCTTTTGGGGCGAGGAGCTGGTGCTTTATTCTGCCGAGAGAGGAGGTGCTTTGGCTTGCAGTTGCGTCAGCTTCCAGCTTTGGATCTCAGGGCTGAGGTCTGTAGAAAACACGCCTGGGTGCCGTCCCCTGCTTCTGCCTTCGCTGTGAAGAGCAAAAGCTGTCGCGTGGCTTCCATTTCCTTTCTTTTACACATTAGGAAGTTTGGGGCCCTGGAGGCTGCTTACCCTTAGTGCTGGTGGTTGACCCGGCCCGGCGCTCGGGTTGTAAGCCTGATGAGCAGGTGACCTTCAGCGCAAGGGCAGGCTGCACCCTGCGATGGGCAGCAGCGTTCAAAGGCAGGAAGAGTGTAAGGGGCAGGAACAGCGAGGGACATAAAAAAAAAAACCACATCGTGCAACTTTGAAATGCCCTTGCCAAAGCGCAGACTTAAACTCCCAATGTGAAAAGCTAGAGGGAAGTGAGCAAACCCAGGTGCCTTTATGGCACACTCTGAAGTAGGAAAAAAATCAGGCAAAAAGTCCGTTTTGTGTTTATCCCTTTCAAATCAGTTGTCCCCGTGCCAAGTTGTGCCCCATAAAGACAGCAGCTCTCGGGCTTCTCCTGCAAGGTATTTTTCTTGGCAAAAGGCAGGATGTAGCTATTGCTGGAATAAGCTGAAGCCTCTCAGACTTGTGGGCATAGGCAAGGAGCGCGATGGTGCAGGTGCTCTCCAGAACCCTTAAACTTTTTTGTCATAGCAGGGGGAATTTCTTAAGAAGGAAATTCATAAGCATGAGCTCCGCGTTGTCCCAGAGTCCTCCGATTTGAGCATTTCCAGGCTGCTTTGCATAGTCTGACAAACAGCTGCCCCGCAAGGGAGAAACCACTGTAGTTATTTTGAAGACACCTTGTTGGCACTCTGGTCTGCAGCTGTGCTACATTTCTGCTCCTCCTGACCCCCGTTGTGAGCTCTTTCACTCTCCATAAATTAGAAGCAATTTCTGTGCAGTCAAGGCTTAAATTACAGTTAAGCATGCGCTGTTCTGTTTTGCCAGCTCAGGCCCTGAAACACGCTGCCTGGGGCAGCGTTGAGGCTGCTTTGGAGCTGTAGAAGAGCAGGGTCCAGTTCTTCCTGGATCCATCAGGTTTCTCCTCTCTCTGGTTGCTCAGATACTGTGATTTCCTCAGCTGAAACATGATGTTGTGTAATGCTAACAAAAGCAAAAGCATGTGCGGCCCTCACTCCCTGGAACTGTGTACCACCACCTACAGAAGAGCTGTTTCCTTCCAGCCGGCAGCTCTCCCTCGGCTGAGAGGGAAGGACTCAAACAAACAGGCACGGACCCCAGGTACAGGAGTCCCCACTGTGGGTACAGAGCAGGGGAGAGTGCCCAGGCAGAGGCAACACCTTGTGTGTTAAAGCTTGGCTGAAATAGGGGTGAATCCCCGGACTGCTCTGCAGGAGCTTGTACGAGCATGGCGGGAGGAGGGAAGACAGGAGTCTTGGGAGGGAATTGGGGAGTCATGTGCAGCATGAAGGCAATACAGTTTTCTTCCTGTGGGTCGGTAAGGACAACAGTCTGTGGAAAAGGCTTTAAGAAAAGGCACTGAGACCTTCACCTAGTTTTACCTCAAAGCAGCATTCAGCTTGGATCCCGTCATGTCTTTCAGAAGTACCTGAGGCATCGTTGATGTTGGCAGGAGGAGCCAGGGCCGATGGCACGGAACACAAGGGAGAAGCAGAAATGACTGTGACAGTGTGGGGGTGAATCCAAAGCGCCGGTATCTGCTTGCAGCTGGCTAGATAGCAAAAGGCAGATCTAATTCCATCAGTGCCAAACATGTGGAGCTACTGTTGCCCCTCAGCCAGTTAATTGGGAGAGGAGAAATTATCCAAATGCAGCCAACTGTTTCCCCCCCCCCCCGCCCGGCGCTTGCAGTTGCGTCAGCTTTGGATCTCAGGGCTGAGGTCTGTAGAAAACACGCCTGGGTGCCGTCCCCTGCTTCTGCCTTCGCTGTGAAGAGCAAAAGCTGTCGCGTGGCTTCCATTTCCTTTCTTTTACACATTAGGAAGTTTGGGGCCCTGGAGGCTGCTTACCCTTAGTGCTGGTGGTTGACCCGGCCCGGCGCTCGGGTTGTAAGCCTGATGAGCAGGTGACCTTCAGCGCAAGGGCAGGCTGCACCCTGCGATGGGCAGCAGCGTTCAAAGGCAGGAAGAGTGTAAGGGGCAGGAACAGCGAGGGACATAAAAAAAAAAACCACATCGTGCAACTTTGAAATGCCCTTGCCAAAGCGCAGACTTAAACTCCCAATGTGAAAAGCTAGAGGGAAGTGAGCAAACCCAGGTGCCTTTATGGCACACTCTGAAGTAGGAAAAAAATCAGGCAAAAAGTCCGTTTTGTGTTTATCCCTTTCAAATCAGTTATCCCCGTGCCAAGTTGTGCCCCATAAAGACAGCAGCTCTCGGGCTTCTCCTGCAAGGTATTTTTCTTGGCAAAAGGCAGGATGTAGCTATTGCTGGAATAAGCTGAAGCCTCTCAGACTTGTGGGCATAGGCAAGGAGCGCGATGGTGCAGGTGCTCTCCAGAACCCTTAAACTTTTTTGTCATAGCAGGGGGAATTTCTTAAGAAGGAAATTCATAAGCATGAGCTCCGCGTTGTCCCAGAGTCCTCCGATTTGAGCATTTCCAGGCTGCTTTGCATAGTCTGACAAACAGCTGCCCCGCAAGGGAGAAACCACTGTAGTTATTTTGAAGACACCTTGTTGGCACTCTGGTCTGCAGCTGTGCTACATTTCTGCTCCTCCTGACCCCCGTTGTGAGCTCTTTCACTCTCCATAAATTAGAAGCAATTTCTGTGCAGTCAAGGCTTAAATTACAGTTAAGCATGCGCTGTTCTGTTTTGCCAGCTCAGGCCCTGAAACACGCTGCCTGGGGCAGCGTTGAGGCTGCTTTGGAGCTGTAGAAGAGCAGGGTCCAGTTCTTCCTGGATCCATCAGGTTTCTCCTCTCTCTGGTTGCTCAGATACTGTGATTTCCTCAGCTGAAACATGATGTTGTGTAATGCTAACAAAAGCAAAAGCATGTGCGGCCCTCACTCCCTGGAACTGTGTACCACCACCTACAGAAGAGCTGTTTCCTTCCAGCCGGCAGCTCTCCCTCGGCTGAGAGGGAAGGACTCAAACAAACAGGCACGGACCCCAGGTACAGGAGTCCCCACTGTGGGTACAGAGCAGGGGAGAGTGCCCAGGCAGAGGCAACACCTTGTGTGTTAAAGCTTGGCTGAAATAGGGGTGAATCCCCGGACTGCTCTGCAGGAGCTTGTACGAGCATGGCGGGAGGAGGGAAGACAGGAGTCTTGGGAGGGAATTGGGGAGTCATGTGCAGCATGAAGGCAATACAGTTTTCTTCCTGTGGGTCGGTAAGGACAACAGTCTGTGGAAAAGGCTTTAAGAAAAGGCACTGAGACCTTCACCTAGTTTTACCTCAAAGCAGCATTCAGCTTGGATCCCGTCATGTCTTTCAGAAGTACCTGAGGCATCGTTGATGTTGGCAGGAGGAGCCAGGGCCGATGGCACGGAACACAAGGGAGAAGCAGAAATGACTGTGACAGTGTGGGGGTGAATCCAAAGCGCCGGTATCTGCTTGCAGCTGGCTAGATAGCAAAAGGCAGATCTAATTCCATCAGTGCCAAACATGTGGAGCTACTGTTGCCCCTCAGCCAGTTAATTGGGAGAGGAGAAATTATCCAAATGCAGCCAACTGTTTCCCCCCCCCCCCTTCTGGCTTTCTTCAGTTTTGGCTGCAGATTTTCACCCATCATTGCATGTCTGTTTGTAAAGCAATCCGTGAAGACTCCAGTTCATCCTTTCTTGGGGCAGTTTTGCTAGATACACACACTACAGGACCAAGTAACGCCTAACAACAGTCTTGCATGTCCAAAAAAAGAACTTGTCCCAAGGTAAAAATGCAGCAGTGCTTACGTTTTCCCAGCAAGGAAAGTTCAGGCCCAAGTGTCAATTCCTCTAGGGACTGAAATCGATCATCGCTTCTGGATTTAGAACTAACCCGTGACTTAGCAGAAACACCACAGTTTCACAGTTTCTTGGTTTTTCCACATGTAGTAGCCGTTGAACTGCAGCTCTGCTCAGCCTCATGGTCTTACCTCCGCTCCATTGCCCTGCGTTGGCTGATTTCATGGGCTGCTTCTGGCTGCGTTCAAGTCTGCCCTTGCTCGGAAGAGTTGTGGAAGATGTGCTCCATTTCTCAGCCCGCAGTTCCGTCATCTTTTTGGTTGCTGTTTGGTGTTGTCAGTATTAGGCTGGAACAAGACCGACAGTAACGCAGATTCCCCTAGGAAGCTGTTGTATCATTTTGCTGTTACTTGGGAGGTCAGACCGGCTGCTCCTGTTAGTGCGTTAGTTGAAATGGTGCGTGCCGACATTTTGACCAGTGCCCTCATTTTGACCAGTGGCATAGTGGGAGAAAGTGTAGGGGTCGGTGGATGTCCCTGTGCCAAGGCCCTGGGTGTATGGAGGGGAACTATGACCCCATGGACTGCCTTCCAAATCTGTAGCCTCCTCCTTTTACGTATCTGTCAGAGAGTGGGAGTTTGGTTTCAAATGAATCCTTGAATTTGTTACAGTGCTTCTAAACCAGAGAACTTACATGGCAGGGGACGGGACTCCTGAGGCCTTTTTGAATGACAGGCTCTACAGAGCACAAGCTAAAAGTGATGACATCATTGCCTTGAATGGCTGTCCCTGCCCGGTATTCTGCAGGGTAGACAGGGTGGTGGTAATGCTGCTTTCTTCAACAAAGGCCTATGTTCAGAGGGGTACGTTTAGCTTAATAAAAAAAAAAAAAAAGAAATCGGAAGAAACAGACAAAAACCTTCCGTGAAACTCGGCTCTGCCTGCCTTTCCAAACAGCTGTAACTTACACTTTTGTTGTGGCTCATTCGTTTCCAGGTCCATCACCAGAGCCTACTACAGGAACTCGGTTGGCGGACTCCTCCTCTTTGACATTACAAACCGCAGGTCCTTCCAGAACGTCCACGAGTGGCTAGAGGAGACCAAGGTGCGCGTCCAGCCATACCAGATCGTCTTTGTTTTGGTAGGTCACAAGTGTGACCTTGACACACAGCGGCAAGTCACCAGGCACGAGGCTGAGAAACTGGCTGCTGCATATGGTATGAAGTACATTGAGACCTCAGCTCGGGATGCCATTAACGTGGAGAAGGCCTTCACTGATCTGACTCGAGATATATACGAGCTTGTTAAAAGGGGGGAAATTTCAATCCAGGAGGGATGGGAAGGGGTAAAGAGCGGGTTTGTCCCAAACGTAGTGCACTCTTCAGAAGAAGTGGTGAAATCAGATAGGCGATGCTTGTGCTGAGCTCTTCTAGTGAGGCGAGTGGTGATGAACTCTACTAACCAAACCTACTTTACTAAGTGAACTCGGTGTGACCGAAGGGAGAGCAACACTCGGGTTGTGAACAGCCTCCCATGTTGTTTTTGGACACCAGAACAGACCCCGGAGAGAAATGTTCTGTTCCAAATAACCTTTCAGAACTGGGGGCTACAAACGTAAAGGAGAGTGAGTGAGGGTGCACGTAGATGTTGTAAGGCGACAGGAAGCAGAAATGAGGGGCTGCACGAGACAGGAGAGCGCATACAGGGAGCTGAACGGGCTGGCACCTGCCAGGGTACTGTACATGTCCTCTTTTAAGTAAATCCATAGCTCCATGCTGGGTCTTGAAGCCACAGTATGGATACTTTAGTAGTATAACAAATGGGCAGACAGAGAGAAGGAAAGGGGACATGGTCGTTTGTGTCAGTTGTTTATTACCAGGAAGGTGTAAAGGCAGCACAGATACCATTTCCTCAGAAGGCCAACACCACAGGAAAAGTTTACTGACGTAGTGTGCACACGCCTGAATTTTTTCTTATGTTCTTGACCCTAGTTTGATAGCAAAGAATATTCTGTGGGATTTAAAGAGGAAAACAGTAGTTATTTGATTGGTAATTAAAATTTAAATTATCCCCCCCCCCCAGTAGTGCTTTTCTTGCTGTGCTGAACTGGGATTCTGTGGCAACTCCTGCTTCAGTAGTAATTATTCAATGCATTTTTACGCATTTACTGCCTAGGTGAGTACCTTGAAAATACCCAAAGTTCAGGGCTTTCTGATAGAATTAAGTGGTCAAGAGCATAAAGAGAGCCCCGTGTCCTCATGTTGTAGCTTAAGGCTGGGGTGCACCAACATTTCTGTCTTGCTAACAGCGCTGTGCTGACCTTTGGGTGTCTTACCAGCCAGGTCACGAGGTGAAATGGAAAGGGGGGGGCAGGGAAACGACAAAAAAACCCAACCCCAACAAAATAAAATTAAAAAAAAAAACTTGAAAAGGTTAACTCAGGTGCATCAGACATCCTAAACAGTGAGCTTTGCTTTTAAAGAAGTGAAAGAGCATGCGAAGCAGCAGCTTCCATCAGTACTTTCTGCTGTTAAAGTGTCATTTTCTTTCTTGGCATCTGGAAGAAGAGAAGTAGCACTGGGAAGGAGGCGCACACAGCAGACGTGGCTGAGCAGGTGGAAAGGAAAGCCGCAAGGCAAGCTCAAGAGTAAAATTTTCCTCCATGTTTTAATTTGACAAAAGAGGCTCTATCTCAGGTTGGTCATCACGGGATGGTTGCCGTGTTACAAAAGCTGTATGCAGGTGGATGTTTTCTGGGAATGCCGTTCACCACTTAAAAGCTTTGCTTCCGCTAAGTTTTAACTTAAGCTTTTGAAGTGCAGCAGGGTAGCTGTGCTCCAGTAGCAGACTAGGGAAGTTCAGCCTGTTAAAAGCAAACAAACAAAACTACAGTGACTTTTTTTTTTTTTTTAACTAACTCGAGTTTGCAAGCTTTATACACCAAACTGCCAATGGGCAGGAGGGCAGGATTAGGTAAAAACCACAGGAAGCATCTAGTGTTGGACTCTAGGCCTCTAAGTAAAGAAGAATAAAATACTTGTTACAGCTTTTTAAGCTACCCCATCTATAAAAGTGTGGGTTGTCTTGATTGCTGCTGAGTTCAGACTATTTCTCCCTTTGAACCTGTTCTCGCAGTTTGTACCACGTGGACAGGGCTGTATGAAGAAAAAAAAAAAACCAAACCACCAACCCAACCCTGTGGTTTCCATATGAAAGCGTTTAAAGAAGAGAAAAAAAAAAAGATAAAGCCAACAAACAAAACCCTGATGAGTACATTTTTATTTTCCATGTTCTAGGAACAATTTCAGTTCCTGGGCTCTGAGGGGGAGTGGCAGCGTTGCACCTGCTGGGAGGGCACTGGGAGCAAACTGGAGGAAGGGAGGGGTGGCAAGGGCCTGGCACCTTTCAGTAAGCGTCACTGCTAACGCCCGAGCCTGCCTGAACAGGCTGTGAATGTATCGACAGCCTTGTGCTAAAGCCCAGGGACTTGCAGGCAGGTTCAGTTGTGGTCGAGTGCCCTGAAGATTTTAAAAAAAAAAAAAAAAAAAAAATTCCCTTTACAAAATCTCTTTCTAGGTAAGCAAAGCTGGAGAAGATTGATGCAGAGCGCGCCACGGGAGCTTGGCTGCCATGGGCTCTCACGGGCCGACGCCAGTGGAGAGCGCAAGGTTTGCTCGGATCAGGTCTGTTTGTTAGTTGTATTTTCACAAGGGCAAGGACAAACAAGATGGAAAGGGTCAGGTTCTTCATTCGCTGAGTGGGAAGTCGCCAAGCAACCGCTTTGGTCTTTCAGGGTTGAGCTGTTCACGAGGTGTGCCTTGGGTTGCCTGGCTGAGGGTAGCAGAGCTGGAGTGGTACGTTAGCGGCAGTTAGAAGTTGGATCAAACAGCGGCTTAGCAATAGCAAAATTCCATAATTCTCTGTGCAGGAACCTGGCCAGCAGGGGAAAGATCGCGACAACCGATATTTTATCTACTGAGTTTTGGCCATTCCCCTCTACTGCTCCCAGAGAGAAAGTCCAGCGAGCCTAAACCAGTAAGTGCATTCAGGCCTCCAGAGTAAATCTTCAATTTAAAACTCCAAGAGTCGTAATGCTAAAGAGGAAGAGTACAGAAGAAAATGTACGCAGTCTTAACTACTTAGAGGTAATAAATGGTTATATTAAATGATAGAGAAATCATTATATACATCTTTTTCTAATTCCTTGCATTTTCTAGACAGCTTATTAAACTATAGGAACTGTAGATTCATCTGTACAAAATTTGGAATGTTTTTTCTAAGATGAAGAACTTATAGGATATGCTAAGAATTCTTTTCTAACAACTGGTTTTAATGCTTTGACTTCTAACACAAGAGGGATTTAGAGAAATCAGCAGGTGGTACCTTTCACAGGATAAAGGTCAGGAGCTCTTTTACTCTAGGACAAAAATGAAAAAAAAAAAAAGAAAATAACTTTCTGTGGTCGCTACCACATGTTAAAAACAATCTGCATGTTAGATTGCAATTGCTCAGAATCTCCCAAATAAAAGCATACTATACACGTTCCTCGCTTTCTGTTATGCACTGTAACGAAATGTGAAAATAACGCTGTATTTAGCTGTCTGTACGTGACTGAAAATATGCTTGTATTTAGCAAAATGGTTACTATGTGATAATGTGAAATTTAAAACTTGTAAAGAAACTTTGATGGTGGGTTTTTTTTTTTTTTCTTTCTTCCCCCTCCCTGTTCATTACCAGTCAGCGCTCTACCTGTCCCACTTCTGTACCGCAGCCGTCGCTGAAAGCCTGGCATGGACGGGTGCGCTTTGCGCCGATGGCTGCTCTGCGGTTTCCTCTGCAGGCCCACTGCAGAGAGCTTCAGCGCCAGCCACCTTGCTGAGAAAAAGCAATGCAACTAGAGAAACACTGACCCTTCTAGAACAGGACAAAAAACCTCCCCAACAACCCCAAAAACCCCCCTGCACCCTGCAGCAGGAGCCAAAACCAGCCTTTGCGCACACACCTCCCCGAGGCCTTGCTCAGCAGCAGTCCTGCCTGCTGCTGCAAACTGCCCTTCTCACCTTACTCAAAATAACAAAGACTTAAGAGCAAAGGCCAGCACAACACCAGCCAAGGGTCAGTCCTAGGGAAGCTTGAGTTCTGGTCTGTGAGTTTTGTTTTGGGTTTTTTATTTACTTCATATCAAACAAATAATAATAATAAAAAAACCACCACCACAGCACCGAAAACAAGAGTTAACGACAGCACAGCCGTTTTCCATCCCCACTGCCCAAGCAAGTAAGTCCAGCCCGAACGCTGTCACCCCCAACGCCCAGCATTAGGTCACTGGCAGTTGCACAGAGCACTGGTTTTGCTGGTGCAGAAATGCTTAACTCGCTGTTTCATTGTGCACAACAAAGGCAGGCAGTTGCTGCCTTAGGACAGGCCAGAGGGAGGGGGGAGCACGCGTTAGCCTGTTGGGATCTCATTAATCCAAACAGAAGAGAAAATTGCAGGAGAAATCAGGACGTAGTTGTAGCTGCCTTTGCTGTCATTGCTGATGCTCTTAAAGGGAGAGACGCAGCCTGAGCAGCCCCACATCCAGCCCGGCGCAGCAGCGGGCAGACAGATACCTGTTCGTCAGATTATGTTGGATCTAAACATTTCTCTGCTCCAGCCAAGGACAGCGGAACAAGCAGCATCGCCCCGCAGGAAAGGCACGGAGGAGCCAAGCCCAGGCGCCTGGGAACGCTGTAAGGGTTTACCTGTCTTAGGCCCGCTCCTGCGGCTCTTGCTCTTTCACAGCCACAGTGCTGTCACATCAGTTGCTTGTATTCACAGTCAGACGTGCTGACTCACGCTCCCCGTTCCATTCCAGCCAGCATTCAGCAGCCAGGCTGTTCAGGTCTGCTGCTTCAGCTGAATTTTTTCACACCCTCCCCGCCCCCAATTAAGGGAGGGAAGCCTTGCAGAAGATCACACATCAGATTCGTGACTTTCTCACACAAAGAAAGATGCACAAAAACAGGTGTTTGCCACAACTGTTTAGTTTTACTATTTTAATATCATGAAATAAAAGTACAAAAAATTTACAGGTATATTGTTTCTTACATGAAGATTGAACAGTTAACATTTGCATTTATTTTGCAGCGAAACCTGTATTCTCAGTCACAGAATGTGAATATTAGCCACTGACATCACCACTGAGCATTTCATTTTAGAAAGAAACTGCAGAGGTAAAAGGCAACAATCTTGCAAGGCTTCGTAAGAACCAAAAAAATATTCCAAGGTTAACACCAGAAGTCATGCTTCAGTGAACCATCCCTAGCTGATACAGGTTTCACCACCTGGAGGCTGAGAGTGTTAAGACATTGGAACTGGAGGTCTTGTCTAAGGGATGGCAAACGGGGAGGGGGGGGGTGTCCTTGTTTACAGCTAATCAGCGTTTTGGTGTCCTTCGTCAGCGCCTTTGCAGACACGAGCAGTGTGCGCACATGTATGAAAGGGGACGGGGTGAGATCACCTGCAGTCCTGGCACAGCTTGTGCTGTTCATCTACATTTCACTCTTCTCTGAAGACAAGTCACAAACTGTTGTACGTAAAGTGCTGCGAGGTCGGTAACAGGCAGTTAACTAACCAATAAATATTAAAAACAAGTTTATCCAAAGTGGATATCCAGGAATGCTTGCAGATGGATGCTGCCAATTAACTGACTGAAACAAAATCCAAGACTTCACTGTAGTTTTTCTGTTTCCTAAAACATGACGGCTGCACGTCTTCCCAGCCCAAGTCCACTTTAACTTCATCAGCTGTACACAGAGGTGAAAAAAGTAAACCCCTGCCTGCATGGCCTTAACCTGCTAACACGTCAGACTCCATTTCATACATGCCTCTCAACTTTTCAGACAAGCTTTTGGGGAGAAATTTATTTATGACAGATTGGTCTGATCAAAATACTGTGTCCTTTGCTGGACTGTGCGGTGCCTTTTCAAATAATTTATTTCATGAAGCATGCATGAAACCAAATTTTGAGTTTACAAATAAATAGAATGGTGCTCACCATTAGTTTTTATATATTTTACCATTTACTGAAATGCTTAAAGTAACTCAGTCCCTTAAGAATGAACTTGGGGGTGTTTAAATAAAAAATATTTGGAAATTGAAACCACATTCAAAATTGGCAAAACTATGCTTTGTTTTTGGAAGGGTCTTGCTTGTTTCTTCTCTTTACATCCCAATTATAAACTCTAGCCATATCTGAGGGCGGGGAATTAAGGAAATAGCTCATGCATTCAGAAAAGAAAAAAAATGAAAGGAAATGAAAGGAAAAGTGAGAAGCAGGTTATACAGTTGGCCACATTTCACTTAACTTAAGAGTCACTGCAGAAACCATTTGATGGAAGAGCTGACTTGGTGCAAAACCTTAACACACAGCAATACCAGTAGCTGTTAATAACTGTGGCATTTGTACCATTTGCTTAAAAACCTCCGGAAAGATATTACAGAGAAACACACTTGCAGTGTTACTTACAGCTGCTCTTTTCTGATTTCAGTCAACCTGCCCACATCAGCTGCATTTGCCCATTTCAGGCCTCCAACAATTTCCTGCAGCACTAACACAGTTTAAGTATCAACTTCAAAAAACACATAGTTGCGCCTTCATTTACTAAATCTAATGCTTCAGTTGGCAGCTACCCTCATCATTAATAGAGTTTTTAAGTAGAAAGTATTAAAAAAAAAAAAACAACCCACGCAACCCTGGAGGTGGTTCATGATGGTATTAAGAAATAAAAAAAAAAAAAAAAAAAATAGTTAAAAATCAGTCGCTTTGCTTTGAAACGGCCTCCTGGCCATCAATCCTCAGCACCAATCCAGCTTCCAGTTGACTTCCAGTCTAGGTGAGCAACCACCACAACAGGTTTCACGGGGACCCAATCACAAATACAAGCTTTGCTACAGCCAGCACGCCAACCCTCAGCTGGGCGCTGGAAACACAAGTACCCCGTTTCACTGCTAGAAAAGGTGAAGTTCCTAGAGCACAACAGCATTTTCAGGGCAGCCAGGTTAAGATAAAAGCACGTCAGGAAATTGGCAGTTACCTGTATGTTCGCTTTCACATACACCTCTTTCCTGCAAATAATAAAAAAAAAGGATACTGACTTCTGTAGTGGTGAACTGATCTCTGAGAAAATCCAGGTCTTCCTCTAGAAGATCCAGGTTTCTTGTGGCTGTTGACAAATTCTTCTCTAACAGAGCCTGAGCTTCATCAATATCATATTCAAGCATCACATTGGCCTAAAAAAAGAAAGGTGGATAAAAGCCTTTACTCTTGCATTGTAAGGAATAAGCCACACCAGGTTCATCTCAGGCTTTTGCTTCTAACTTATCACATTAACAAAAGGCTGTCCCGACAGGCCAGACAAGAAGATTCGGGACAAGCAATGCCAGAATCCACTTGAGGCCTCCACCTCTTCAGCAACCGAGTAATAAATCCCTCTAATGACTTAAAAAAAGTTCTCTTCCTATAGCTAAGCAACAAGGGATTTCTCTCCCTGTGGATTGTTTGGCCTTTCAGGTATCAGTATTTATCTTCCCCGTATTTGAAAAATGAGACTTCACGTTTCTCAGCAGCACCTTTCACCTGTCACACAGCTCGAGAAACAATTTTTCTTGCATTCAAGATTAACCTTAGGATCTCTGCGTGGAACGCTGACCAACAGCCTAATGCCATTGGTCACTACCAAGAAGTATTACACGTATTTAAAGATACAACATGTATACAAGTCCTACCCTATACCGTGGTGGTTTTTAATCCACAAATCTTTGTTTCAGTAAGAAGCTACCATGTGAAGAGATAAAAGAGCAGTATGGGGTGAGGATGCACCAGTGAAGCTTTCTCCCATTCCAGACCGTGCACTGAGCAGAGCCAGGTACCGCTAACTAGACATGATCCCAGGGAGTGCTACAGAGCTGCACGAGCAAGAGAAGCCAGACTTCTTTTAAAACACCCCGCAAGACAGTTTCCCCAATAACAGTAACACACAGAGCCCAGCGTGCAGACTGTAAGCAGCAAGGAGGGCAAAGGCAGAAGACCAAGAACACCTAAATATAATAAATTGCTTGTGGCATTTCATTATAGCTTTTCTGTATGAACCATCAATAGGAAGAACTTTCTCCGATACTCTGTTACACAATAAACCTGGGATGCTCCATTAAAGCCAATGTTTGTGGATTCTGAAGACAGTCTCCTAAAAGCAACAAGTATCAGACAAATCTTCTCTTTTTATGACAGAAAAGAAGCGGCAGAGGCTGGGACTAACTGCCCAATCAGTCCAGATGCTGCACGTGTCGACAATGTTTCTGCCTTAACCAAGTGGTTTTGTTTTGCAGCCAACACAGGGATTTGGGAACATCTGGGATTTAGAAGTCTCAAAATAAATATTAGGAGGTTATCTCCACATATAAGGAAGTCTCTGAATACAAAATATCCCAACCTGATATCGCTTAAGTGCTTGGAAATCTGTGTTTTGAGCTCTGATCCCACCAGTCTTTAGCACAAATTCCACTCTAAATGCTGGCAGGTACCTGCAAGTAACAGAAATCCCATCCTTCCCTAAAAAAGTGCATGAAAGGGAAAGCAAGATGCTAAATACAAGTAACATAGGGAGGATGGGAAGCTACTTGCCAAATTAAGTTACTTTGCTGGGCACACTCCCATCCCAGGCAATGCTGGGTGGTAATTTGAACCACAAAGTGACAGAAAGATAGGAAAACATTTGTGAATATGCTTTTTGGGAAGAACAATCCAGCAAAATGACAATCCTCTGAAGTCTTACTGTGCAGGCACCAAATGAAATTGAACACGAAACCTTCGCTAACACGTTGAAATTGTCTTGTTCGGGTTGTCCTGCTGAGAGGACACGGCCCCACTACGCACACGTGAACAGAATTACGCCCACGGCCACTAGATGTACACATGAGACAGCAACAAGCACTGTCTTTGATAAGCCTTTTTTAAGTTATTTAAACAGTTTCAGAGAAAATTCCATTTTACTTACCCCCAACCACAAACAAACTTTATCTGTAGGAGGAACTGAAGCTTTGCAGTAGAGATTATCTGCCAATAAAAATCTTGTTTCCATTGGATGTGTGGAATCCTTAAGACAAATGATAAAACTTAAAATTGCTATTTTCACTGGAAACTTATGTCAAAGGCATAAAACTTACAGTAAAGAGCACACTTTTCTGCTGTTTGCCACTGATACACTATTAACTTTGGTGGAACTCTACATAATTTCACTTCACCGTTAAAGTTAGAGCTCCGAAAATAAAGCATTTTAAAGAGATATATTTAAAAACAATATAGAAATCTCTATAAAGAATAGAGATGAAGTCTACGCTTAGCTGCAATCCACACACCATTAAAGTGAACTTTGCATTACAAACATTAACTTTTTTTGAACTAGCTTTCAAAGGGTACTACATACCTTTAAAAACAATTCTGTTATTTATAAAGGCATATTAAGTGTGCTCTCCAAAACATTTCTTGCAATGTGTTCTGTTAGGGTGGAAAGGTAGTTAGCTTTTCTCATACTCATTAGATATTCAAAATAGTTTACCTTTTTCTTCTGCATGTGTTTTAAAATTTCTAATGTCTGTTTAATTTCAGGAATCTGACTTTTTAGCCTGTGAATTAACAACAGTCATAATTTATTATTTTACAGAGACACAAAGTTTCCTAAACAAGTGATCAGTTTTATTACACAATCCAACCTCCATTTTAAAACTCAAAACTCTTAACAGCTTTCCAGGCTTACAAACGCAGGTTTGAAAGGTACGGCACGTAAAGGCACCTCAGCTACAGCTTCACCTGCCTCTCCTCGCACCGAGACTCGATGGTTTTCTGAAGCAGAGCAATAGATGCAGCTTTCAAACCGTGACAAACACGTATTAACAGTAACAGATACCTGTTTGCTAAAATGGTGTATTTTTGAATATTTCTGATCTCCCCGGAGGAGAGGGAAACCTCAGCAGAAATGTAGAGAAAAAACGCTGTATGTAAAACAAAACAAGTGTGTTTCTCCCGAGGTTCTCAAACTATTCTAACAGTTTAGCGCTACAAGAATTGGCGCTGTTAGAACAGAAGCTCTCTCCAAAGTCCAGGGCATCCTCCCCCTCCTCGACAGCCCTTGCAGCGGCCCAGCAGAGCCGCTGGGATCCCCCCTGTCCCTCTGGGCCGCCCTCCTCTGCGACCCGCAGGCTCAGACAGCAGTGACTGCCAAAGCAGGCCTCCAGGTGGAAATTATGAGGGCTATCTGTCCATGAAAGAAGTTTAATCTAAATAAAAACATTACCTGAAGCTTTGATTTTAGCTTTTAAAAAAATTGCTTCTTGCCTAGCTTCAGATCAAGACTGAAGCTACTGAAGAGAGATGAGATCACAGAACCAGCAGTTAAAGGCCTGATACAGTAGTCGTTCGACAAAAACGTATTCTTATTTACACTAGGCTGACAAAATTAAGAGACTATGGCAGTACTTTTCGGCCTTAAGGGCTAAGGACCAATTCAGCAATACTGTAAATTCTTTTGCATGTAATTCTCAGGAAAAGGAAAGAAAAAAAGCTGGGCTTTCCTGAAAGTACTGCAAATATTAGCTCTCCTAACACCAACTTTTTACTTTTTGGGATATTTTAAAAACTAGACTTATTTATTAAAAAAAAAAAAAAACAAAAAACAAAAAACCAAAAAAAGCTGTGCTAAACATTTCCCAATTCTGCAAAAATTATTACTTACCTCCTTTTCTTTTGAGCAAGATTAAGTTCCAAAAATTTATACTTCTGATACTGCTCATCCAACTTCTTAAGAACTACATCTGCTGTCTCATTTCCAGGCTGTTTCATAAAAGAATCTACATCTTCCTTTAAGGGGAGAAAGAAACCCTCAATGTTAGAAGAGTTTTACAGAAATCCTAGATACAGTCATGCTACCATCCTACTGCAGCTAAGTCTGGAGGAGTTCTTGTATGTAAATAAACTTCTTTTTTTCTGAAGTACAAAATCATTTTGTTTCCTTTCTTAGTTAATCACCTTTACACTTCCCCCTCCCGCCTTTTTTTCGCAGGGAACTACAGAATAGGTGCAAGGATTATTTCATAATTGTATTTGCTGGTACCTTGTTAGTGGCGCTTTCAATCCTGGCCGATGTCAAATGACACCTAACAGGGCTGGATATCCTCAGTCTAAACTTCGGTTTCCTATCTGTGAAGCAGGGATAATGCTTCTCTGTGGCTAATCAGATTACGAACTATTTAGGATAAGACCGATGAAGGAAAAGAATCACGGCCTGATCAGGCACGTTGTGCCAGAGAAAGAGGCAAAGGGGGGAAAACTGTACCTGCTCAGGCAGGCTTTATGGTAGTTTGTCTTCAAAAGCTCCTTCTACAGTCAGAAGGAAGCCATGGAAACCTCTGGAAAACAATTCCAGCCAGTCCAACCGTCAGCTGGAAAGGTAGCCAGGGGAGACAGGCCTGGGCAGGCAGGGATGCTGACCTCTGCAAGTGCCTCCTTCAGATGCCCAAGAAACAGTTCCCCTGCCCACGGGCAATGTTCTCAACCTCACAAAAGGCATGTTGGGCCAGAGATCAACCATGCGTTTCTGACCTTGACAACATCGACCTATGTATAAGTCAAGATGACCATGCTCATCCACTGCAGTATTTCTGTCCTTGTTTGTCTATATAGCTCTGTAAAATCCACTGGAAGACTATCATAAGCCTCTTCAGCTTCTCCTTTTTAACTAGGGGTTTCCATTCCAGCAGTTTCACACCGTAAAAAGACTATAATACATTAATAAAGTAATATCAGGCATATAGCTGGTTCCCCTCATTATGACTCTGAAGCTCTCTTGGCTAAAGAAACTTACTATGAAATTACTGAACCTGGTAAGAAGTCACCCACCTTCCTTATCATTAAGGGAATTTGCAGAAGAAATATGAACTCCCCAGCATACTCCAGCATGCAGCATGATCTAGGTGGTACAACAGAACTCAAGAGACCACGTTGCACACTAACTGCCCAAGGAACGCCTTAAGCTACCTCACCAACAAGAGAACGAGAAGCATCCCTGCCTCCTGACGAAGCCTGTAGAAAACCTTTAACCAAAAAACCCAAGGATTAGATTCAGGCAAGTGGTGTTAGAAGTGAGGCCTCAGGATGTTCTGAAATGAAACTCCCTCTTGTGGAAGCTATTCTGCTCATGTAAATCACCCAAGACAGAAAGAAAAAGCAGGTGGGCAACAGCTCAGCCCACACACTGCCCAGCACCCCTCCGCTGCCTCAGCTAAGGTCTGTTTGTACAGACAGACAAGACGGAACCCAAGTCCTCCTGAAGTGAAGATGCTGAGAAGTGAAGCCAGGCCCCAGTCCAAGGTGGGCTCAGATTTACCACCCAGGTTTTCCAACTGCAACTCCCAAGTCCCGCTGGCTGGGCTTTTGGCCCATCTTACCCAACTGCAAGGCCGAGACACAGTCAATTCTTTGAGCTTGATCAGAACAGCTTTGTAGCAGAGCTGGGTGTCACGTTAGGATCCCTGCTCCCTGGTGTGTCACGCAGCATCTCTACAGCAGAATTACCTTACAGGTTCTGCAAGGACCTGCCAAAACTCATCCCTACTTTTTTAGGAAGAAAATGCACTGGCAAAATACCATAAGGTAACACAGTCTTGGCAAACTTCAAGCCAAGCCACATGAATGCTCTGTAGAAGCCCTGAAACAGAGCAGGACAGCACATTCCCATGCAGCCTTATGTTTATCTTTTGAGTGATGAGCCAAATAGAGAGCTGCAGGTACTCGCTCTGCTTCTGTGGAGACCTATCATCACCTATGGGCATACACACAGAACATGACAAGAGACACACGTCTTCAGATTTGCATCCCCTATCCTCCCCCTCACAAGCACGCTAAGGAAGGCAGAATAAAGAAGGTATTTTATTTGGAAGCATCTGGACAACAGCTCAAAAGAAAACAGAGTTGAAAGTTCTACTTGGAATGTCTTTTAAACTGCAAAGAAATCTTGAATTAGTGCTTAATGTCACTTGAAATCCAGAGAGGCAAAAGAATCCACGGATCAATGCCTAAGAAAAGGTATCTGCCATAAACTGTTTGAAGAGCCTTTACTGGATCAAGACACTTAAAACATCTCTGAAGACAAGATTCACAGTGCCCATTAGCACGTGGTGGGGGGAATGTCAAGCAAGCAATCAGGAAGTCTTTACCATCATGATAATACACAATGGTTTTGAAGCAGAAACCTATTTTCTGAAGAAAAAAACTGTAATAAAAAACAGCCTCGAGACATTTTCACTTTGTGGAGCAGAATACCATTAAAAACTTCTTAGCATATGCTAAAATAATTGAATAAAAAAAGTCTATCTTAACATCTATGTCCAAGTACTCTAAGATCATCATCGAGGATCTCTTCTGCAGAGATATCTGTATTCGATTGGAGCACCTCTCAAAACTGAGAATTAGGAAACTTTCAATTTTTGATCCAAAGATCAGGTTATGAAGAACTGATGGGAAGCGCAGAACTAAGCCACAACCCCCAGAACTCGCCCAGGTTGCATGGTACAGCATGTGAGACACTTCAGACACAAATATCAAAAGGGAACAACGTGGAACCAAACACGAATCGCATCAGCAGCTACCAGCATGAAAATAAGGGATGTGACAGGCACCCTCAAAGCATTCGCTGAGGCTGGTTATCTCCTGTCCCCTGCCAGGGAGGCCACCTCCACGGCAGAGTCAGCACTGACCACAGGTTCTCCTCTGCCACGACGATCAAGGTCTCATAGGGCAGCTGAAGCCACGGCCCCTTCCTTTCCCTTGCATCTATGTTAGTCTCCCATAAGGGGGTGGAAGGAAGTTAGCCACAAGCAGCAATGGTTTCATATCCCTGTAAGATTTGCCAAATGCCAATAATTGTTAAAGACCCTTAAAGAAAAAGTAGGATCTGGATGCACTGAAAGCAAACGCACCGTACGTGTTTGTTCTGGACCCATGCTCTAGCAAGACACATAGGTAATACAAGCGCTACACCTAGAAATACCAAAATGCAAGTCAAATCTATGAGAGCAGTCATACCTGAGCAGGCCAAACAGCTCTGCTAAAGATATCAAGAGAGATCTGAGAAATAGAGGTCTTCAAAGACCAAGAAAATCTCAATAATAAAGCCACACAATAAACGAAGCACTCAGGGCAGACATCCGATGTTTCAAGATGACACGAAGGCAGCCAGGTATGGCCAGTCTGATCAATACTTATTGATCAAACAAAAAGTAGCAATCGACACAGCACACCAAGAGCTAGCTTATAGCAGAAAGCTAACAGCAGATAATTTTGACATTATGTCACTGCATAAGTCGATCGATTCTTCTTTTCAAGCAGTCAACAGAACTACTAAATGCTTCGTAAATCACTTTTTAAAGTCAGATAAACAAGTTCTGCCTGTATTCCAAAAGACGTGCATTCGTTGGAATGCTCAGGAAACCTAGCTGGACAGCGCGGTGGCTTCTGAAGCATGATTCTGCCCAACAATCAAGAGCTAGATTAGGAGAAGATGCAGGGAAAGGCGCTAGGAGTGCGGCACGGCGTTATCCGAGAGGAAACAGAAGCGGCAAAGTTGTGCTCTATGCAAGAGGAACCACCGTGAGGAACCGCGGCCTCGTACGTGTGGCAGGAGGGTTCATTCATAACACGTTCTGCGCTGGCATGCGAGCTGGCCAGCGAACGTGATAACGCTTGAAACGGGGGTTTAAACTGGCTGTGAAGCGTTTTAGTAACGCGACGACAGAATGGAAATAAAGCGACTCACCCCGTGAAAGTCCTCAGGACTAAGGCGCCCCCCGCCCCCCGCGGCACAGGGCCCCGCCCGGTTTGGAGGGAAGAGAAGCGCTCCGGTACGGGGCTGTCTCAGGCCGAGACCGCAGGGCGGCCACGGGTAGGGTA